TGTTAAAACAAACTGGCAGCCCCTCTCAAAGTAACAAATTTGTTTTATTAGTATCTATAGTATTACATGTCGCTATTTTTAGCGCAGGGGCATGAAGAGTTATTGTTATAAAACAGGTTTAACTTTATGTTCTTATTACATCTATTAAAAATTTAATAAAGGCTAAATAAATCAAACACCATGGATTGTGTATAATTTTAAGAATACCGAACATGAAAACATGAATATATACATGTATGTGACTTCAGTTCTGCATATACTTCACTACGATTAAAGCGACGCCGTGGTCTAGTGGTTATGTCTCTCGCTTCAAATGCGAGAGATGCCCACTCCTTCAGGGCGAACCTGTTTTTTTTTTTTTTTTTTTTTTTTTATTTCAAATACTTTTTTTTTAAAATGATAGTATTCAGCATGTGAACACAAAAATTTATGAAGTTATAAAATCATCATTACAGTGTGATAAATATTCCATACAAAAAAATCTTCTATACACATAATAAAGAATAAGCAATCAAATCTTTATATGCATATTGACATACATCTATTTTATTTCCTTCAGTATGCATGTATACATTTAATAATTCTACAAATTCAGTCAGGGGGACCATTTTGTAAAGCACATAATTCTCTGAATTAGCTTGTTTTACCTGTACCTTTTCATTCAACTTTTTAACAGCTAGTAATTACGTATTGCAGACCTATGAATTCCTATTATACTTTTCTTGTTCGGGTACATTATTCTCTTTTACAACCATACTTCGGACGGACGCATCCTGTTCTCGAGCTCTCTTTCGACCCATGTTTTTTTTTTTTATACAATTACAGCAGACGACAAAAATATTGTGCATACGTCATGAATCAATTTAAGTATCACAACAGAAAGATAAAAAATAGCGCTCATCCAAATTTACGGAAGCGTATTAGGGCCAGTACCTTTTAGCAAATTGTTAAAACAAACTGGCAGTTTTTCTAAATAACAAATTAGTTATTTGGTGTAACAAATTACATGCATTAATTTGTTATAACAAATTTAACTATTTCTTATAACAATTAAAAAAAAAATAAATAAATAAAAATTAAAGTCACCATTTCGAAAGTTCTATGGTCGATATAATGACCTTGTCAGGATCAGGTCCCAGGATCATGAAACAGACTTAGACTTAAAAACAAATTTTTAATCGCCTGTATAATGTTTATTAATTATTGAATGAATCTCTAATTTTGCAGATAACAACCATTTTGTAAAGCAATATTATTTTGATTTTTGTCTACTTTACTTAATCAAATTTCTAGTACAACATGAATATTTTGGGGCTAGGTCTTCCGTGTTAATCTAGTGGAATCTATTGAAATTCCCATGGGTACCAATTGTGCCCCGTTATAAGCACATCATTTTGTGTATTGATAATATGAAGCAGAATTTGTCCAAAATCTTATACGTGAAAAGAAGGAAACACTTGTTGCCTTCAACTCGACATTTAAATATATCGACGACGTATTGTCATTTAACAATGGCTATTTCCTTTCTAACAATGGCTATTTCCTTTCTAATGTTAATACGATACTTAGTATATCCCGGTGTGCTTGAAATAAAAGATAACACAGAGTCTGACATATCTGTTTCATATTTGGATATTTGACTTGAAAAAAAAAACGTTAATAGTAATCTAACAACCAAGCATTATGATAAACATAATGCCTTTAACTTTTCAATCATCACTCAACTTCCCTTACATATGCAGCAACATACCTTCAACATCTGCATACAGGGTTTATATCTATGAACAATTTCTAAAACGAGGTTAATTACTATTGTTTGCAGTGACTGTAAAGTTTCACGTTACGTCACGATCTAGTTGACAGCTGCACTCAAGGTAAATTGTACACGCCTCCTAACCGCAAGCTTTACGACTGGAACTTTCTTCTTATCCCTGATTGGTTGCTCGTGCAACAGTCTATTTCCGTATCAATGTTGATAATTTGAGTTCACCAATCACGTGAATTGTTTACGCTGGATGCATCTGACGAAAAAGATCGTGACGAAACGTGAAACTTTACAGTCAGCTGCAAACAATAGTATTGACAAACAAGTTGATGGAACAAGAATATCAAGTCTCGTTTAAACTAATCATTTCGTAAGTTGTATGGTCGATACAATGACCTTGTCAACATATACAATTAATCATTGAGCCAAATGCTAACTGATGTTTTTGCGTTGACTCTGAGGTCCACGCAGTAAATATAAAAGCGAGGTTAAACTGCCATGAGCATACGGCAGGCTACGCATGCGCAAGAATGCTAGAGAGTTCGCCACTAACAACTTGCCCGTAGAATAATTCGCCCTATTCGAATTTACCATTCATTGACAAATCTCGCTTTTAAATCTGCATATCGTATTTATTTATTCGTTGGCGCATCCGAATTTCTTTCTTATATAAGGAATCACTGTCTAGTTAGTATAGTATGCCAGGGCATACGATAGTGGGAAACATGGGATAATTTGCATAACGGGCAAAGCCCGTTATGCATAATTTATCCCATTTTCATCTATTGTTGATATCCCTGGCATACTATACCAACTAGACAGTGATTCCTTATATTTCCATTTCATTGTGAAATAAAATTGTAGATTTAGACTTTAAAAATGTAGACTTAGATTTAAATTACACGAGGACTCCCATGCCAATTTCAATAGTTCTCGCCCACTAACGTCAAACACAAATGCAGCCGCATGAGATTTACATGCATATTTGGCCTCCTTACACGAAGCTTCCGACACAGAGACAGATGCACACGAGATTTGCATGCACATTAGGCCTCCTTAGCTCCTGACCTATCCACCTGCCTAATTTACATTCCGGTAGAATTATCAAGAAATCAAGTCCGCTAACTTTCAAAGAGTTATCACAGAGGAAAAAAATAGAAATGGAAATATACTTTTATATACAAACTAACCATTGATTCTATGGGACATGCATTTTAAAAAGTAGGAAGAACTTACAGAATATAGACAACTTAATAACCTGAATTAAAAACTTCATTCAACAAATAGTTCTAGGTTTTAAAAGATAGAACAAGTCTTCAGCGGCATTTGTTATGTGCATCAAGGCATGCAAATACAGCTTGATACAGGTCTGTCTGTAGCAATGGTTTTCCATGTGGAGGAGGGGAGGGGGGCTCCGAAAAAAAAAAAATCTGCGTACAACAGAGCTGCATGTGCAACATGTGTGCCTTCAGATCTATTTTTCCAAATGGATTTCTTCCGTATAATTCCAGAAGAGATGTCAGGTCCCAGCTGTTATGGGTTACATGTATCAAAATAGCCAGATTTTTTAAAATGACAAAACTATAGGCCAATCAGAGATAAAATTAAACAATTTTGCTATGAAAGTACTATCAGTCAAAGTAGGCAGATCATTGTAGAAAATGTGAACAAACCTACTTAAAATATTCACTAAACCTAGAAATTTTCCTCAATTGAATTTCGGTTAGAAACACATGAATATGGTCCACGTATTGTAGTCCTTTTTTACAGGACTGCAACTTGTTCATACTATTTGTTAGGTCATTATTTACACACTGATTTCCGTTATTTTCCCAATCAAGACAAGGAGCACATGGCGGGTGTGACCGATCTGTACGGGATGCTCAAAAGAATATTTTTATCCAACATAAATTGTGTAATGCCTGTAAATAACCATTTTTCTATCTTACTTTAGAACCATGGGTAAATCACTCTAATGCCATAAAACAACCCTACAAATAAAACTCTTTAGTGTGCAGTATTTATCTAAATACCTAGGCTCTAAAGCTTCCTTTATGGACTTTTGAGCTGAATACTGTTCGTTTTCTCCATATATATTTTTGGTAGTATTTTACATTCTTCCTCCTTAAATTACGTAGAATAACAACCTTGAGATTCTGCAACAATTTTCTTAGAACTATTCTTTTTAAAATTACGACACACACTCTGCTGTCTGAATTTCTTTTCACAGAATCTTTCTATTTTTAACTTTAATTCTGTGAAAACTATCAGTTAAGAATATTTTTAAATGCATGTAAGCTGTTACTAGTGCAAGTATCTTTAGAAGAACTACAAAATAAATAATCAGTCATAAATGTTGACACTGAAATGTGCATTTAAATAAGTTTTTTTATTTAATCTTATAAATCATAACCACAATTTATGTCTATGTGACCATTTTAGGCTACCTTATTTATAAATATTGACACGTTTCCAGTTCAACTTCAAGAACTTCCGTCTGCTGGAACTAGTGGGATAAACAGTGCAAATACAGAACATGCCCTTGTGATGAAGGTAATTTACTACATGTTTGTTAAACCTTACAAAGCTCTGTTTTCCTTATACATATATAGTGATAATTTTTTTTTTATATTTCATGACGTGAAAGTGATTGGACAAATAACTATGGTTAGCCATTTAGGTGAAAAAGTTAAATTTATATTTACTCCTGAAATGCAATAACAAAACACCATGCTGATGGACAAGAAATAAGGGAAAGAATATATATAGGATCAACATATTTTTTTTTAATATCTGAATATCGGATATCGATTATTTTTTATTTTCATTTTTTCACGAGTGCGAATCCTGTCTCAAGCGTCATAAATTTCACATGAAACTACAAAACCTTGAATTTTTTGTTTCTGACATTTTTTCTTTGATTTTTCTTGTCTTTTAAAACATTAAAAATGTGGGAACGACATATTTGGTGACACTCTGGCATTTTTAGTCTTTGTAAGGATGATTTATTTTCTTTATATCAATTCTACAGCGCTCATTGAAAAGGAAAGTCGAGATTTTTGTCACACTTTTGATATTCTCTTAAACTGTGACTGAATTTCACTTTTATTCTAAAAATAAATTACAGTATAATAGTAATAAAATTAGTTAACTTCAGCATTTTTATTGAAACATTAAATATGTTTATAATGCAATCTGATACTTAGTAATCAATGCTAGTTTTTTTCAGATTGAGTGAGAATGATATCTCTCAAAGATAAGATGAAGGACAGGACTCACAGTGAGCAGGTTCTTGCCTACTGTGCTCTCGCCGCGGGATTCAACATGATCAACCAAGTCTTCAACTTCTACTATGTCAATGTGTTCCTCAATATATATCATGTCAAAGAAACCTGGTTCCAGTTGGCTCAGGTTCTATTCCTTATATGGAATGCAGTGAATGATCCTTTATTTGCATATTGTGCAGATAACAAAAATATACGTTTGATGTCCACACGACGGAATATGGTTTTGTATGGTGCACCATTCTTTGCACTGTCCTTTGTGGTCCCATGGTTTCAGTGGAGCTCAAACCCGACTATAATTGGAATTCATTTAATTGTATCTCTGTGCTTTTGGGACACTTTATTTACATTAGTAGGTCTTGCCTACTGTTGTTTATTTACTGAAATCTCGCAAGACACATCAAAGAGAATTGTGCTCACGCGTTATTCTACGCTAGCTTCTCTTATTGGATCTAGTAGCGTTTTGGTATTGGATCATGCCTCCAGCAGTTTAAAAAACTTCAGATCTTTTCAGTTTGTCTCTGTCATTACAGCCTTACTGAGCTGGGCTCTGATGCACTATTGTGGCAGACACTGTCACACACACTTTGACTTGAACCAAATGAAAAAGAAAAACAAAGACGCTGATCAAGTTCAGCATCCGAGAAGGCGAGAGCCGTTCATTCGACAAACATTGCAGATCCTGACTGATGTTAACTTTGTATCATTTGTAATAACGAACTTTTTCCAAGAGTTTCATAAAACGTATTTGTTAAGCTTTTTAGCTATTTTATGTGATCAGCTGGTACCAGACAATTATATATCACAGCGGACCAGGAGTACCTTTTATGGATTCGTTCCTTTCTCATCACAGGTACCTAGTCAAAGGCATTTTTGGGAGTAAGGTTAAGATATGGATATAATCTTTGATCTTCCTCATCATCACCATCGCTGGAAATACATTGAAAAGCTCACCTCGTTGTAATGAATGAAATTCAACTTTACAGTAAAATATTTTTGAATAGGGTTTCAATATATATGAATTGGTTTTTGTCATCATCAAATTAAATATGAATTATTTAGAAATGTGCTCCATTGACCATCAATGCAATTCACTGTATACTCCCAACTAAAACATTTTTACATTGCTCGAAAGATGGTAGTTTCATGCTCAACGATGATAAAATCCTCTATTACAGATCGTCATCATCCTCTTTGCCCCACTCATTGCTCACTTTTCTTACCAGAAAATTTATCGAGCAAACTTTATTTGGAAAATCTGCAGCGGGCTGTGCTTGTACTTCTTTGCTGGACAACACTATCCAGGCTTGATTCTGTTGTTTTTGTTGTTTGACGAGTAAGTACAATGATTGCGTCATTTCCGGTGTATGTGTCTTGCAATATTATTCTCAAAATCAAGAAACCAATTGAAATTTCGATTCTATGAACATCGTTTTTAGCGTGTTCAGTTTTTAAAAGTCAAATCGGTAGATTAAGTTATACATTACTTTCCTAGATTGACGAGGAATACTGGTAGATATGTTGAGTGACTGTGAATATTTCATTGCGTATATGATATGATTAATACTTCAAATTCATTCGGATTATAAATGTAATCACTTTTATGTCACGGGATATGATAATATACAATATAGAATACTAGTACTGATTAGTAAATATGTAAATGTCAAAAATATTGAAACCTATATTATATGTATTACATGAATCATATGAAGATAACGAACAGTATTCAAGACCAAAAGTCCATAAAAAAATACAAAATAGGATTAGAGCAAACACGGACCTCCAAAACATCAGAGGTTGGACCAGGTGTCAAAGGGAGGGAGCATCCCCTGCGGACCGGGTCACACCCGCCGTGTGCTCCTTGTCTTGTAGCCTGGTTCCCTGTCCCTCTTTTGCTTCGTACTCCGCGCCACTGCCTTGGCAAGGATGAGACAGGGGACCAGGCTACTTGCCATGTAAATGCTTTGTTTTCTTATATTAATTTTGTATAACTATGTAATAATTAAGTTTACCTTTTTGTACAGCTGTTTTACCAGTGCCACTAACTCGTTGCTCAAGCTGCCTCTTGCCGATATAACTGATGCAAATATGGAAAAATATAATCGAAAGTAAGCAATTACAGTTACTTGAATGTGAAAGTCTGTGTCCAGATGCATTGCTACAAATTGTTATTGGTGAAGCAGAGAGCCTTTTTAATCAAGGTTTGTCAATTGTTTGACTTTAATCTTTCCACCGAAAGTAAAACAGATACAGAGAGATGAAGATACATTAAATCGCCCAAAGCTATACAGAAGCACAATGATCGGGGGGTATAAACAAAATAAGTGTCCTACTCAAGATGTAGAAATTACACTATGCAGATCTATGTACTTGTCTGTTCTCGACAGTGGTATTGTAACCATTTATCGTTATCACTATACAGACAAAAACAAAACAACATAGTTATGTACTTTTACTATATCATCAAGACTCCTCTCTTAGTCCAGAACACATGATCCTGGGGCCAATAATTTCAAAATTGTGGCAGTGCGCTCAATTCTTTTTCTTAGCTTAGTTCAAGCTAAGAGATTCACTGCTTGATATCCAAAAGATTTTTTTTTAATACTTCTGAATGAGTTTTGATGGAGTTAACACCACCCTCAGACCCGGGAGGACAGGCAGACCCGGGAGGACAGGAATCATGAAATTCACAATGTTCCCATTAACCTAAAAATGTCATATGCCAAAATTGTTGAAATTGGTTCAGTGGTACCAGATAAGATGCTGACAAAGTTCAAATGTTAACGCAGGATGAAAAAGATAGCAATTAGGTCATTTGAATAACATGTATCCTTAAAAGAGACTAAAACCAAAAACTAAACAAATTAAAAAAATTAAAGTAAAAAAAAATCTTTATAAACTTGCACTATGATAAAATTTTACATGTATTTCTAAATGGAAAATTTACATAAAATTAGTTGTTTTTTTTTATTTGATAGCCATCCAATATCCTCCATGGTCTTTGGAACAAACGCTCTGATAACAAAGCCAGCTAACTCCCTATCACCAATGCTTGTAGTCGCCATATTGAACAGATACGGGTACAATGAAGTGATACAAACACAACTCGGAAGAACTGGAAGTATAGAATTGAAGAATGCCATGTTTTCTTTGGTTTGTTTTTATCCAGTTGTTCTAGGTGTGATTCAGTTGTGTACCTGGTCTTTTTACAGGATTAGCAATAAGAGAGAAATAATCATCAAAGCTGACAAAATCAACCAAGGAGTGTAATCTATGAATAAATAATTAAATTTAGTATTTATAATTAATGATCCTTTAGCAACTACAAACTTCTTCGTACACAGAGAGAAAGCCACTGGTAAACAAGGTACTTGTACGAGTTAAAGAGAGGGGAGACAGACCGCGTTCAAAAATGCCAAAGATGAATCATATTATAATAGAGAGAAAATGGCTACTGCAAGACTGAGTAATGTACTAGTACTAGATGTAGTATCATCACAGACGACAAAGGCCCTTTACTCAGAACACAATTTACTAAGTAGGTTATATTGCTCAGATAGGCTAGGACAACCTCAAAAAAGACTTTCACAAATGTGTATACAGTTTCCGTCATAGAAGTGAGCATCATAGTAATTAGAATGGTAAATACAGGCTACTAAAGGATCTTCTGCACATATTGGGATCAAGTGCTTAGGAGAAGTAGCTTTCCCCTGAAACTTACTGAAGATTTTTTTAGAGGTGCTTGAGCCTTACAAAGATCACTTGTGTAGCTTTATTCTTATACAAAATTGAAGATTGTCGGCGACGTTATAGCCACATCTTCGCTAGGCAAGTGTCCGATTCGAGGGTAAACGAATCGAACACTCGGCTTGCGAAGATGATGTAGCCAATGATGCTGTACAGACTTTGGATGACACGGTAAAAAAAATCTTCTGGGATAAATGAAAAAATGGAAGGCCACTGGAGCAGGTTTATTTGAATAAAGGTAGAGAATTATTGATTAATAATATTATGGTAATTTAGGAATGTGCTAATTGGTATTTTTGACATTAAACAATGATGTATGTGTAAATAATGTGTTAATTATCAATTTCGAAATGATCAGTCTGGTATTGGTTAAACAGCTCTTATGAACTGTTTCACACTACATTTAATTGCTTTTAGAATATCAAAATATTTCAGTCTGTTATTGTTTTGGTTTGAGTACAATAAAAGATCAAAGTTTCACTGACACATCTTTTAAGTTATCTTATCACAAGGTCCTAACTCCTTGAATAATTATCTGATATATCTGATATACTAGTAGTTTAAATAATTCTACTCCTCAAAATCATTCGATGTTTAATTTAAGTGACCCTGATTCATTCCCTTTGCCGAAGATTTTAATCTAGAGTATCATCACCACTATCATTATATACAATTTAAACCTCTCCACAATCCATGTACTTGTTGATTTGAACAAATTTGATTGTTTAGATGTTACAACAAAAGGATTGGACACAAGGTCTTAAAACTTAGAACGTCCTCTCCTTTATAACAATTACACAAAGTATTAATCAAAAATTAATTTACACAGGAACCAAAGGTCAATAAGATTATCTAATCTACTCATGTTAGACACTCTGTGACAGAAAATGAAAGTAAACTGTTTTGCTTGTTTAGAATATAATTATCTGTAAACATTGTAAGAATGCTGAGGTACATAATAACAATTGAGATCTTTCCAAAAAACGTTCTTGCATAACTGCAAAACGGGCTTGGGCACTTAGCTCGTCTTACCATCTTGTGTCCAAAGGTCAATAAGATTATCTAATCTACTCATGTTAGACACTCTGTGACAGAAAATGAAAGTAAACTGTTTTGCTTGTTTAGAATATAATTATCTGTAAACATTGTAAGAATGCTGAGGTACATAATAACAATTGAGATCTTTCCAAAAAACGTTCTTGCATAACTGCAAAACGGGCTTGGGCACTTGGCTCGTCTTACCCCCCCCCCCCCCCCGATTCTTTGGTCTTCATATGCTCGGCTCTTCTTGAGATTTTCTTTGCAACCACTGTTTATTTTTCATTTTCCTCATTATCTGCTTTAGTTTAAGGGTCAAATGCCTATTTTTAGCTTGAATGGAATCCCTTATGAACACAAAAGTGCTCTGCGACAAACTTAATTTTAGTCCAGCAGGGGTTTTTGAGATACTGGTATAACCCACACTAAATATTTACCCAAATTGAACAACGCAGGCCTGGCTTTAGATCCTCTTAGCTGTAAAAGATGAATACACTTAAGGACGTGCGAACTTTACGGCAAAATAAACTTTCAAAACAAACATTTTTTTAATTGCCGGAATGATCAACATCTAACCTACAACTTGATGTAATTACTATAAATAATAGAATGTATATATTTACGAAGTACGAATCTGTTTGAGATCACAATGCAATTTCTTCAATCTCCGTACGATTATGAGGACGTCCACTTTTTTACTTACTTTATACATAGTCAGTGCATGTTTTTTCTCTTGTTCTCCTTTTAACAGTAGTTGTATATGTGCCTAAGTAATGTTGTGTTAAAAGGAAATCAATAGACAAACATGCGCTCATGGTTTAAGTAGTAGTTACCCCATATCATACTGTTGGTTATGTGTAGATACCCAATGGGCGTGGTCAAAATGACACGAGGGAGCGTAGCTCCCGACTTGTCATTATGACCACGCCCATTGGGTATCTACACATAATCAACAGTGTGATATGGGGTTTTAATGACTTGTACCATAGTTTTCAAAAATTATTCATATGTAAGTCAGCTTAGGAATCGGTCGGACTGGTTCGTGTGATTGAAACATTAAGTGTTTTGTTTCAAAGATGCATTTGGATTTTATATGATTTTACGCTTCTTCGTGTCCTTCTGACCACGTCCATCGAATATAGGGTAAGTGATTTGTATACAATACTTTGCAAATTTTGCTACAAATTTTGCCCTATACGCGGCACTCAGGGTCATTAAACAGTGAGGGATTTTCCTGTCAACACTTTCTGCGACACGGTACCTCTTTTTATACTTTATAGGTCTCCACGTCCCACAGTGGGATTCAACTCCTTATTTCATGGCTCTAGGGCAAGTGCTTTAAACACTTGGCCACGCAAGCGACATAAAAAATAAACATATCTAGGCCCGTTTAAAAAGTTTGATTAATGTAATTGAAAAAATAATGAGTTTAGTTTCAATGATAGATGTTAATACGATATGATTTTTTTCTCGTAAATTTCAATAGTCAAAAACTCAAAATTACATGCTAGTAATTTAAATTTATTATGAACTTGGTTTAGCTTAAATTTTTGTAAACGTGATACAAACTTTGCCGTGCACAGTTGTACGTTGATTGAAATGTTTGTTAGGGGTTATGTATATTTCATTTTAATGAAAATTAGATCTTTGATCGGCTAGATCCGCAATCGAAAATGTTATTTAAGTACAGTAGTGTACACTTGCTTTCACGTCAAGTATGTACCGTGTTACCTTTGTTGGTTATCAAAAGAACGATATATTAGAATCTACTTAGCTAACGTCACCCTGGTCATTACACTATTAAAAAAATGTTTTAAAAAATCAAGCGATTTCTGAAGTTTTTTCTTCACTTTTAACTACATTATGTAAAGTATTAATGGTCGTTTTTAACTGTTATTTATTATAAAATGCTGTATACAATTGAAAATTTTTACTCCTTAAATACTCTCCTAAATTCGGTATAACAAGCCCGTGTGATTGTTTCATTTAAAAACCGTGCATGATCGTTTTATAAATAGTTCTTTTGTCCTGACTCGATGGGCGGAGTTATAAAAAGTGTGGGTTATGTACAGAAAACCCACACTTTTAACAAAAGAAATCACACCTAACTATGGTACAGAAAAGAGAAAACCAGACGTCTCTGATGAGACTGTAGCTCTACTGGTCTATAAGTAAGTAAGACTTGGATTTGAAACTTTGCAACAGGCAGCAATAATAAGAATTATGTATCTTACTGTAGCCTACTTGTGTGCCAAGTTATAGTGAAATCATATCAAAACTGTAGGAGGAGTAGCGTTTTAAAAGAATTTCACAGAAATTTCTATTTTTAGTAACCATAGCAACACTGTTCATCGAAATAAAAAAAATGATGCACTAAATTAGGTACCTTAGTAAAAGTCTACTTGTATGCAAAGTTATATTGACCACGTGGTATCTTTCCTCAGGTTACTTTTACGCTTTGGGGTACCCATCTCTTATCCGCAACTCCTCTCATACCACTGAATGAAATTTAATGAAACTTTCACAGAATCTTTATTACATATTGCCATTGTGCATCTCCTACTTTACTTTTTGATCCGACACATATTTTGGGTTTCCCACAACAAAACATAGACACTGCCATTACATGTATATTCATATGGGAGGCGGGGGGTATCATTTAGTGAGCTCATTGCTCACAGTACGTCCAGTTTAAATTTGAATTTGGTGCCAAATTGACAGACTTCTGTAGTAAGTATACAAAAATGAAATTAGTTGCAGAATTAAAAGCAACAGAAGCGACCGAAAACGACCCATAACACCGCAGTCATCCTTTAAAGGGATATGGACGCAATTGCAGCTGAAGTCTTTCCAACTTATTATGCCCCCCGCTTAAAAAGTGGGAGGGTATTTAGTAATCGATATGTCCGTCCGTCCGTCCGTCTATTACGCTTTGGGGTACCCATCCCTTATCCGAAACTCCTCTCAAACCACTGAATGAAATTTAATGAAACTTTCACAGAATCTTTATTACATATTGCCATTGTGCACCTCCTATTTTGCTTATTTATTCGACACATATTTTACGTTTCCCATAGCAAAACATGGACACTGCCATTATATTCATCTGGGAGACGGGGGTATCATTTAGTAAGCTCGTTTCTCACAGTACCTCTAGTTTACATGGGTAAGATATACAGATATACGTGTGTTTGTTTGTAGCAGATTTTTTCAGTAAGGAATCTAATTCTAAGTACGATTAGACAGTTTCGTATGATTTGCTGAATCTCGTTTTGTTATATGATATTTCAAATGATGCTCAAATTTCTGCTGATCATTGCCTAAATTAGGAATTGTAAACTTTAAAATTGGTAAAAAAAAAATTAGTTGAAACTGTATCCATGCCCCTTTAACAAACAATGATACGAAATACCTTAACCTATAGGGATGCTCTGTTAACTTACAAACTTGATTTCATAGTCTATGGGTTCTTGAGATACAAATGTAATTCTCGTTTTAAAAGAATACCCTTATTGCACAACACAGGCTTTGCAGTAGTTCTTCTGAGCTGAAAAACTTAACAAACAACTCTTGCTGACATGTCGATATATCATTGCCCTACATAATCGTAAACACTTTGACATTATTAAGATGATGTTTGGTAGAATGTTATTGCTTATGAAGCGAGGGTCACCGATAAAATCAGGACTGTCTAGTCTTTTTTTGAAAAGCGGGAGGGTATATAGTAATCGTTAATTCCGTCCGTCTGTACGTCCGTCCGTCCGTCCGTCTGTTACGCTTTGGGGTAATTTACTCTCTTTACAGGAAATTTGATGAAACTTTCAATATTTTAACCTTCCACATGTATCTTTTTGATAATATTTTGCTAAAAACAGAACACTGCCATTTATACACTGACGCGCGTTCCTCAACTTGTTTGCAGTTAAGTGAATTTCTCTTTCAGACAAGATGTGTCTGTGAACAACCGAAGCCTCATATGGCAGTTAATGAAGAAAGTTTAAATATTTATGAATTCGTGAAGTTTGATTAAAATATCATGAATACTAGTGACTCACGAATTTATGACCACCACAAAATGTAAAATTCCATATGCATCACTATTAAACATTTTCCAACGAAGAAATCAAATCCCCACAAACCCAATATTTTTTTTCTCAAATTTCAGAAATTTTCCCCCACGGAAATATGTGATTTTACAGAAGTCTAAACCGAAATCAAAGGGCATCTCTTAAGGTAAAAATGTTGATGAAGTTGAATAGTTCTAATCAGAATCACTGTATCTTCATCAGTTGTTCATACCAAGTATGATAAAAATATTTATATATACTAGTATATTAGTTGTTTTTTTTTAAATTGAGCTAAACACAAAATTAAGAAAAGTGAGGTCAAACTCAAAGGGAAGGTCAAGGACAAAAAAAAGATCAATGAGCGCCAGTCAAATCTCATGAGTATCCCCTCTATTTACCTCCATTAAGTGGTCCCTGAGCAGTAGGCAATACCTATACATTCATGATTGTCAAATTTGATAACAAGAAATCACTGTCCTGACCGAGTTTTTCGTACGGAAAATTTTTATCCCTAAAATACCCATAAAGGTTTTATATTCAAATACAATTCAATGTTTCATACTGACGGAGAGGGTGTACATAGGCCTTGCCTGTTGCCCAATCCTTATTGAATTATTCAATAAAATATGTTTAAAGTAATGTTTCATACTTTTAATAAAGCTTACATTCACTTTAATATTAACATCAATTAACCAGTGTGCAATTTTTATTTTAGAACCATTTCCAGGTTTTAGAACCATTTCCAGGTTAGTTTGGACTTTCAGTAAGGCGTGGCATTCCCGGCGCTACGTAATTAGCGTCTGTCATATGGCGAATAGATTATCATTGGTTAAGAAATTAATAACATCAGGAACTTTTAACCGAATTTCTATCCAATCTATATTTCAACGGTGAAGGAAAGCTGTGTAAATTTCAGACGCTAATTATGTAACGTCGAGAATGCCACGTCTTACTGAATGTCCAAACTAACTTGGCAATGGTTCTACTATTCATTTTCTTCAAAATATATTAAATGCATGCATATGTCAAAGAGTTTAGACGGTATTTGACGTAATTAATAATCATCTAAAATAACTTCAATATTAAATGTGAGCTTCGAAAAGCTGTTAATTTAAGTGTAGGCCACATACAGCCTTGAATTCTTCAAATACATCAACAAATTAATTAAAATATAGTGAATTTTTTCCCCCTGGTTTTATAAGTTTAAATTGAATTTGGTAGTTTTAAACACGTATAACAGAGAAATCCCATAAATAGTGTAGTAATACAGAAATAGAAAAAAAAATTATATGAGCTCAATTTGTTAAAAATGGAGTCGTGCAAAAATAACCTGGTACCCTTGCGATACCCTCGTGAAAGCCATTTTAAAATTGTAAATTTACAGAGTTCAAATGAATCATTTAGAACAATTCTCGGGTAAGTTAGGATTTTCAGTAATATAAGGCGTTGCGCTACGTAATTAGCGTCTGTCAAATGGCGAACAGATCTCATTGGTTGAGCAATTCGGAACTTTAAAATTGTTGACAACGATGTGACGACTTAAGCCCCACCTCTTTGCCGAACGAGAAAATGTTATTGATTATTCGATACTCAAGTTGACATTTGCCCGAATTTTTATCCCATGTATATTTCAACAGTGAGTGAAAGCTGTGTAAATTTCATATGCTTATTATGTAACGTCGAGAATGCCACGCCTGACTGAAAGCCCAAGCTTACCTGAGAATTGGTCTGTCACTCAATATTAAATATTCCGATACAAACAAGAGAACCCCTAGAGGAATATGTTAGCCAACAGGGATGTTTGGGATCCCATTTGGTTGATGCATGAAGGAAAATTTTTTGTGCGTATTGATAAAGTTAGCGCCATTGTCCAGAGATACACTGAATTGAACATGCAATGGATCAAGATGAGAGCCGTGGGAAGCTCTCACTGGGGAGGGGCAGTTGATCATGTGATCATAGACTAAGGTCCCTTTTGTAGTCGCGCTTCCAAATCGACAGTAGATTGTTTTGCATATCGCTCTAGAAAAATGTCGTCCAAAAACTTTGACGATACTACCACCATGTACTGGGCCTTCATGAGGGAAAATGGAAGAAATTGTTGGTGTTGTGTCATTGAAGGTTAATTTACATGCTTCCTGTTTCGTGTTCGTTATGAAAAGGTTATAGGAATTCTGCCATTTTGTGATGGCTGCTGGTTTCTCTGAATCAAGAAGAGAACTGTACTGTAGTGAATTAATTGCCAAATGGCGCATATCAGCAAGAGTAAGATCCCACCCCATTACCGCCTCATACCAGTCAACAGTGAAGTCATCATATCCAAACGTAGATGGGTCGTCCGCTCCCAAAACCACAGGTATTCCATACCGAATGTAAGATATAGCTGGATGGTGGCGCTGATCGGGAACGTAACCCAGCAACTTGTTGCTAGCTGGATTTGCCTCCACTGCAATCTTCTTCTGTTTTAAAAGCTCCATTAGATATGGATGTGTCAAAAAACCTATGCCATGACCTACTCTTTTGGCTCCTAACAGAATGGCGTCGTATGTATTTTCAATCGTAGCGACTGGATCGGTTACGTGAGTAGAAGTCAGATATTCTGCAGGCCAGTTTGTTTCCGCGGTATGGAAGAAGTATGGTAAAGATTCATTTCTTACTTCCAATTCCACGAAGTCTCTGAGATAAAACAGTAGGGAATAACCGAGGTCTTCCTCTGCCACCATGTCAAATCCCGCTACAAGATGAGGATACTTCTTATGAAGCATAAGAGCTTTCTCTGCGTCTGACTTGAGCGTTGCAGGATCGGATCTTCTGTACGAATTAACGATTCGTTTGTATCCAATAAAAGAAGGATTCTTCTGACGAAATTGATTTAAAACTTCCTCTGCAATGTGAAGTTCCTCTTCTCCATAATCATTGTCCACATAATGTTTCCCATGTTTACTTTCATAAGCAGGATCAGAGTCTAGAAAATACAGCTTATTGTAGGCGGAGACTTTGGTTTCCAGATATTGTACATTTTCGTCCATGGCAGCCTGAAGCATTGCTTCCATGTGTAACCTTGACATGTTTACCTGGTTTACAATGTGTGATCCAATGGTACTGAACAAGGGCGAAATTTGCTTCCATCTCAAACTGCTATCAGTCGGCAAATTAATGGATGCATCGTTAATAATTCCCAGAAACGTGGAATGTTTAACCATGGAATCTTTCGTGTACTTTACATTGTCCTTCACTTTCATCCATCCACTGGGTGGATTAAGGTAGAAGTCGAACCGCCATTTGTTGGGTTCTGAAGATTCCTTAACATAGAAATTGTCGAGCAGGAACGGATTTGCATATATGATGTCCAAGATGGTTGCTTTGCTGACAACGTGGTCTGTAAAAGTGGATTCAAAAATAGTTTATCTGAACCCGATGTTATGTACGATTTCTTGTTATAAATTCTTACCATTTACAATCTGATACTTTTACAATATTGATTACACATAAATGCTCTGTATAATGATCATCACTTTTGTCAGTAACAGTCAGTTGATTTAAGATGGATAGACAATTGGTAATTAATTCCTCCAAATAACATAAAGCAGTTCAAATTATATTTTTCAAACTCTTAAAAAGAAGATGACATTGACTTAGGACAATTGGAAATGCTCAAACCAAAATCGGAACAATTTAGATTTTTACTTACTGTGATGTAGGTGCATATTTCCGCCTTTAGGAAACTTTTTCAGGAGGCGATAGATGCTCGAAGCTTTGACATCAGCAAGGTTGTTCTTCATTGGACGAGATGGTGGGAAGTTGTCCTTGGTTTTTACAAATTCCACCCACTTCAAGTACTCTAAGTAGTTCTGTGCAATCTGTTCATTCTTGTATAAAGAAAGGGAAAGAATTGTAAAAACACGTACATGTAGTTACCGTGGAGTAGGTGTTTTATAAGTTAAAATTAATAAAATTTGTTTGAAAGAAGCCATAGCAAAATGGGTATGCTAATAATTTTGTTTCAGTCTTCACACCTAAAGCTAAAGTTGAATATTCATTTTTTTTTCTAAACAGTATAAGTGGCCTTTTATTCATTCTTGTTTGTTCATTACATTATAGCTAACAAGTCCAGATAGCTGTGTTCGTTAAGTTTTTTTTTTGTAAGCATATTTTTATTTAAACTCAAAGCACATCAATTTCACATCTCAAAGACCAAAGCTATCTCAAAGACCAAAGCATTTGTAGAAATCAAATTTTCTGGGAAAAGTGTTTGTTTTCTTTGTTAAGCCACAAACGATAATTAATTGTTAAAGAACACTACCTTTACCCTCCCAGCTGTTCATGAAAATATAGGATAATTTGACCTCATTGTTAAATTATTTGTCAATGCGTTCTTTTACTTTATTTTTGATAATGTATACCCAGTACGAAAAGATATGTTTTGATTCCAAATAGCTCAAAATCAAATGGGTGTTGCTCGACATTTTCTGGGAGATCCAGTAGACAGACACTTCAGTGAAACATGCATGTTGCTGACACACTTCAGTGCTATGTTGCTCAGACACACTTCAGTGCTATGTTGCAAAGATACACTTTAGTGCTATGTTGCTCAGACACAATTCAGTGCTCTGTTGCTCAGATACACTTCAGTGCTATGTTGCTCAGATACACTTCAGTGCTATCTTACTCAGATACACTTCAGTGCTATGTTGCTCAGTCACACTTCAGTGCTATGTTGCTCAGACACACTTCAGTGCTATGTTGCTCAGTCACACTTCAGTGCTATGTTGCTCAGCTACACTTCAGTGCTATGTTGCTCAGATACACTTTAATGCTATGTTACTCAGATACACTTCAGTGATATTGCTCAGATACATTTCACTGCTATGTTGATAAGATACATTTCAATGCTATGTTACTCATATACACTTTAGTACTTTGTTGCTCAGATAAAATTTAGTGCTTTGTTGCTCACATACACTCAACTGTTTTGATGCTCACATACACTTCAGTGCTATGTTGCTCAGATACATTTAAGTTATATGTTGCTCGGATACACTTCACTGCTTTGTTGCTCAGATACGCTACAGCGTTATGTTGCTCAGATACACTTTAGTACTATGTTGCTCAGATACACTTCAGTGCTATGTTACTCAGATACATTTCAGTGCTATGTTACTCAGATACATTTCATTGCTATCATGTTACTCAGATACACGCATTTTAGTGCTATTTTACTCAGATACACTGTAGATAGAGTTTCTTTAAAATTTTGATTATATGAATATCAATATTGCACTGGAATACTAAAATACTTAGAGTCCCCAAACCTTTAGTTGACATACTTGCACCCTTGTATTTTTTCATCCAAAAATTAGGTCACTGTGTGCTTCTTTTGGATTCATAGCTATACTGTATCTGAATATTTAAGATAATAATTGGTTGTAATCATCAAACTTTGTAGTTTGTGCATCTTTGGTTCTCAGAGTGTGTTTACCAAAGGTAGGTCGTGGTCACCTACTTTTGGAATTCAAGGCTCTAGAACAGAAGTGGAAGGGTTGCAAAATTTATCAGAAGAATGATTCTAGGCCCTTGGGCCCCCTAATTTTAATTTTGAACCATCATTAGAGGCCGGGATAAAGGAAAGAAAATAACTTACTTCGGTGTAATTAGACTCGTACCCCGCAAACACGCGTTCCTGTTGATGGAGACTCTCTCGTTTGACGGCGTATTTGTACTCAAAGTCCCCAAAAGGGTCCCCGGCCACGGACCCAGATACTATCAACAGAAGGAGAAGTTGTAGACACCCTAGTACTGCCATGTTCTAGGATGGCATGTTCTTAAATCAATCTGTTTTAGGGGTCCGGGGTCACTGTCTTTCATGCAGGAATAGATACCAGAGTTGTGCACGGTGGTAACGTTTTCTTAGATAACGACAGTTTTATGCTTAGAGATCCAGAATCGTCACATACCTTACTTATATCAGAATGTAAACGAGGGTTTATAAAAAAAAAAAACTTCGTGGGCTGCATCATGATGCTATGAAAATAATACTATTACAAGTAATACCTTTTCAAAAAAGCTTGCCTGACTAATGCAATCAATATCTATAGAACCCATAGCATGATAAGTTATTTATATAAACGTTTACATTGGGGGAGGGGTAAATACATGTATTTCACTAGAGTAAATTATGAAGACGTGGAACAAAACATCATGCATTAATTTTAAGTTAACAGTGAGATTTTATATAAAATGTACATTTTGTATGTGCTAAAAAATGGTCTATTTTGTTGTTTTTCGTTTGTTGTATAAGGACGCCACCACTTGCCTGTGGAGGGATACAAATACTTGAGACTCAGGACGAATGGGCAGTTACATGTATCTTTTTCGTGCTGACACCTACTGCGACTCGGGACTTGGTTTTAAACGGTCTCATCCTAAGGACCGATCTCCACGTCCCACAGTAGATTCGAACCCGCAACGTAAAGACCAACTCCTCATTCCGCGACTCTATAAATGGTTTTAGAAGATGTAGTAAATAAAAGAAATGAACTAATGTAATTAATTTATGCTGGAAAGCCGTGGCTATGTAAAGGTTATATATTTCTTTTAAAATTAAACTTTAAAGTTAGATTCAACTGCAAAGACTATCAGGAAGACAGCTGAAAGTATGATAACTACAAGAAATAAATGAAACGTTATGATTAACATGCAGAATATGTTAGATTGTTGGGTATGCTAGAGTATCAACAATTGCTGGAAACAGCCCGTTATGCATAAATGACCCAACAAACTTGACGGTGATTCCTTATATTCCTCAATCCTAGAATAGGAGGAACACTTTTCCTATGTCTATTTTCTCTGTTTCATAGGAGGGAGAATTTTATCTCTGAAAACGGGTGGGGGGGGGGGGGGCGGGTCCGGACGAGATATGATCAGAAATATTATGTATAGTTGGCCAGTTTTCCTCTTAAGAAGTTTTTTTCCGTTTCCTTTTATTTACTTTAAATGAAGTAACTTCTAACTTCTTTCACAATATCTTATATGTTGTTTTTCCTAAGTTCGAAAGTCCGATAAAAAGAACAGACTTGATGTTTTCATTTCCATTCAGTAGAATCACCCAGGAAAAGGGCGCGAAGATATACACGTGACATTTGGCGCAAAATGATTGCGACACCCCTTACCTAGAAGACAAATGGACTAATCCAATAGTACAGAAACGCAGAAAAAAGGTCAAACGGACATGTCCGTATATGAAATCACAAGAAATAAACAGCTGCATGCAAAAAAACTAAAGGAATTAAACACATCAATATATTGTATCAGTAAGATGATTATTTTTTCTGCTAAATGTTTTGTTGAAACGCAGGTAACAAATTCCAATTATAATCAGCATGCACAAAATTTTGCTGGCTAACTGTGACCTCTTAGCTTCGCACCTCGGAAATATTGATCCTTGTACAGCCTGACGCCGTGACGTCAGGCAAAAATAGAATGTGCTTACAAATTAACACAACATTGATGAAGAGTTGAAAAAATTGGCTCGATGCGTTGATAATGTGTTTCCAAAATACAGAAGCCATTATATGATCAACCGGCACTTTTGACGTTTCGTTTTATAACATTGGACGTCTTTTCTTCTCATCCCTCAAGTTCTCGATACATTTTTTGTTGACGAAATACCGAAATGTTAAAAAGCGATTGAATCCCATCTCTATTACGACTTTAAAATTTCGTGAATAGCTGATTTCAAAATACATTGCTAGTATTCTAAATAGAAGTACACCCCCTCCCTTTCCGGAATCATTTTATCAACTGAATGTTTAGCACTCCCTGTTGAATTATGATAAAATATTAGAAAACTAATAAAACTAGAGTTACTGTGAGCAACGGGCTCACTAAATGATACCCCCACCTCCCATATTGTTAAAATGGCAAAGTCCATGTTTTCCTGTGGCCAGGAAACCCAAAATATGTGCGGGATCAAAACGTAAAATAGGAGGTGCACATTGGTAATATGTAATATGGATTCTGTGAAAGTTTCATCAAATTTCATTCAGTGGTATAAGAGGAGTTGTGGATAAGAGATGGGTACCCCAAAGCGTAACAGACAGACGGACGGACGGACGGAAATACCGATTACTATATACCCTCCCACTTTTCAAGCGGGGGTATAACACTGTATAATAAGGTAAAATTGTAAGTGTTACGGCATAGTAAATTAGATCGATTCATAAAATTTAATGTATCTAGCTATAGTGTTTTTGTTATTTTAATTTTTTATTTTGTAGCACGTTTTCGTATCAAGACAACGAATATACAGACGTTGCAAAGTTTACATATACTATACAAAGTTACCAAAAGAGAGCTCTCATAGAACATTACCCTGCACTTTTTGCCACTTATAATAATTTTCCGAGTTATTTTTAATTTACAAAATAATAAACCAGGTGTTCTTTGACCCCAAAAATTCAGCATTTATTACCAAGAGTTTTGAACGGATATCAAATTAAAAAAAATCCATGTATTTTAAAAAGAAAAAAATTAACAAAAATGTAGTCTTTACTGGTACTTCCTCAAATTTGATGCATCAAACATTTGAATAATGAATAAATAATAATGAATACAATAACAGACCTATTAAATCAAATTTGATGCAGAAAAGGTTTACAGCATTACCAGGCATCACAAAATGGAACAAAGCTCCTTAAATTTTTCAACCTCTGAAATTAAACATGTAACAATAATTTCTTATAGGGAAACTGAGGAAACACAATGTCCCTAAACCTGTGGGACAAAATATAGTTTATGTACCAGTAACAACATGTTTCCTAAGAGTAAGTAAGTAAATGATTTATTTTACTGACATATTTATAAAACACAATGAAAAACATTTAATTTAATTACTGGTAAATATATTCAAAAACATGAAAGATTGCCTGTGCATGTATGATAAATTGATAAAATTATAAATATTTTGAAATCAATTACATTTTCTAGATCTGAACAAAGTGGGGGTGCATTTAATGCTAGTATTAGTATTTAACTCTGTTCTTAATATCTTGTACCTTCTAGACATTTACTTAAGTCCACTGTCTTTGGGAGTTATTTCCTAAACAGTCAATAATCATGTTGAAACTCAACAAAGGAAATGTCTTCCTGTTTTACTGTACAACACATGCGGAATCTCGTAATCTAGCAGCATTTACTCCGTTATTGGGTCCATCAATACGCTTGATATCTTTTTCCATAACGATTCTGTTAGCTCTGAGTGATGTGACTCTGGAATGAGCATCAACATATGTAAATAGGACTGTACAATGTCTTGTTTACTCATGCACGTGATGCCTTGGACTGCCATATCAATGAGAGATGCTGTATTTAACCCCTCCTTTACAACCTCTCTGTATTTTCTGCTTGCCTCTTGATGTACTCTTTCCAGCTCCTCTCGAAGTTTTTTATCCCTTGTTTGTTCACCAGGAAACTGTGTTAGTAGCAGGATTTTGTTTGAATTTCTGCTTGTGGCTAGAGTGATGGCAAGTTTTAATATATTTGGCAGCAAATGTGGCATAATCCCATCCTCTGTTTTGACCTCTGCAGGATCAAAAGGTACAACAAGATCTGAGACATCTTTCTTAGCCTCCTTGCAGTAGCAAAAACTGACAAAGTGGTTATTCAACCGCAGCTCATCAATCTTAAAATAACCCGATCTGTTGAATTCTTCTTGCATGATTTCTAGAACATTTTTGACTATCTGTCCATCACAACGTTTAAGACTAGAGGTATAGTAGAACTTGTGTCCTGAACGTGTCTCTTTTATATACAGTGGACCTCCTAATTTGTACGGATCAAACTTCCTTAAAGTTGGATAATCTCGATGCGAAACCAAGATCCTACTGGCAGAACTGGTAAGATACTCTATTACTTCAATAAAGTATAAATTCAAACCTTTACGTATTAATCCCTCGTATCCAAACAAAGAGTTCATACTGAATACCACATTACCATATCTCTTCATTGCATAGGTAGGGTCTTGTAGTTGTTGAAATGTGCATGGGCCATACCATAGGATGTTGACATCTCGTACGGGGTGCTGTGGCCTGGGAATTATTTCCCCTCCAGACCAGTTCATCAACCTATATGTGTCATTGACAACAGAGTTGTCGACAACTGGTCTAGGTTTGAAGCCATCCCTCAAAATCGCATTAGCATTTTCTAATGTTGTGGCGTGTACTAAAGTATCAAATTCTTCATAAATATCGGGCAGGTTCTCGTCTTCCAAATCCAGTTTTTCTGGCAATAAATCTTCTTGGTTATTAGGTAGCCAGTGATTGTAGAATATAGTAGAATTTTTTTGACGGTATCTTCCGCTGTCTGATTTGTACATGAACGAATTCCAGTTTCCGTCACCTGAATGAGTAATAAAATGAAAGCCATATTTACTTCTGTGAATGTGAGGAATAAGAAATAAAAAGTATGAGATTTTAACATTTACGTATTTATTTATGCTTATGAAGATTATTTACCTGAAGCCATTTATTATCCTTTGGTCTACTCTATAAATTCCATGTAACAGTATGAGTATTTCAAATTTTGAAGAAGCGTCTATTTCCTTAATAATTTTATGCAGGTCGAACCCGATGTGATTTATCACGCAATGACGAATTTGGGGAAGGGATAGTCCGAAATATCTGACGTTTTCCAGGTCCCAGGCATCTGACGTTATTTATTTTATTTTAATTAAAAAATATATACCCCCTACCTTCTATTGAAAGAAATATAAGTAACGTCAGGTGCCTGTGGTCCGTGGATCATGAAACAGAAAAGTCAGATTTTAGAGTCTCCTATAACATACTGTAATGAGTAATGAATAAGGCAATGGGCCTATACCATTCAAACGTTGGTGTGACCTGGACTAGTGGAATAGTCCAAGAGCCTGTTCACCCCTGTTTGGTTGGTATAGCCCTTGGCTGTATAAAAGGCTGCAGAGGCAGTCTCGACCATTCTGAAACCCGTAGAAGAAGTGGGAAGTTGAAAAGAAGATAATAGGTAATATTAGAACAGAAGAAATAAAATTAAGGCTAGGGTACAGAGCGCCGGTAAATGGTAAGCCAAGGAATTGTGGTGAAGTGCAAGGTATAGTAGTCCTGAATAATCCTGAGGTACCGAGTACTCATTACAACAAGAACTTGGTTTCGGAACCAGGTGCAAGGAGCCCAGTCATACAGGTAGTACTTGGTAACAAAGAACCTCGGCTTGTAGATCCCGCTGTTTAAAAAAAAAGTATAGAACAAGGATAAGTATCCCACAAAAATAATAAATAATCATTATTGTAAATAATTTTAATCCCCAGTATTAATTGTAGGCTCAGATAGAGCCAGAGGAAAAGTTCACATATATTTATGTAATATTAAGACCCTGTATCCCTAAAAACGGACCCTTAAATAAGGTTACACGTTACATTTTGGTGGCAGCTGGTAAAGGGATACAGGGTACATTTAATTGCTAAAATCTGTTGATTTAAGTTTATTTAACAGTGTGAACTGTGTTCTGTCACCGGGTTTTCGTGAACGCAGATCAGTTACTTGGTTCAGATACCAAGTACAGAGATCTGTGTGCACTGTGTTAGGTACGTGCACTACTGTACAGTAAGATTTAATATAGTTGAGTACCGAGTATTTTTGTTTGGTTACTTGGTGTATAGAAATTAAACATGAAGAATGAACAAGAATCACAACTGTGGGCAGATCTTGAAGAAATTGACGTAAGACGACGACAATTAAGAGAAACGTTAGAAAAGTTAAAGTCTACGCCAAGCTCATATAATGTTACTAGGCCCTCTCTAGTTACTGATTCTGGTGTAGATTTGAGGCAAAAGATTGCTGACGACAGTATAGATGAGTTGATGGGTAAAGTTGACATAAACCCCACCACAAGAGCAAGTAATGTGAAAGGAGCTATGGGTGGATACGAGGAATACAAGACCCAAGCTTATGATTTCCATGTTCCTAGAAACAAAGATATTTGGGGAAGAGGCGATGTTTATACCACACCAAAGTCGGCATACACAGGAGTGTCACTGGGTAAATCAGCATATACACCTCGAATTTCAACGCCGCATGTACACTGGAGTACGTTAGGTGTAAGCTCTATGTCAACACCCACAAGTGTTACATGGAGTCTTGCAAAGGACAGAGAACCTATGCCAACTGTACCAAGTACACCATTAGGTGCAGCGTTACCAGTGAATGAAAACAGTGGTTATTGTCCTAGTACTAATACATTTGGTAAAACTGTGATGAAGCCTGCGACATTTGATGGTACCGGGTCCAGGATTGCTTACAAAGCTCATTTCGAGGCATGCAGTGGTATCAACCTATGGAATGATAGACAAAAAGGCTTGTACCTGGCAGCATCATTAAACCTAGTACAAGTATTTTCCATGTGACTTCAAAACCCAAAAATAAACTAATTAGGGTCTTTCGTCTCCAACGGAAGACCCTTCTATTATTCTATTGTTTCTTTTTCACTATTATTATTATTATTTTTTTTCGTCCAAATTTTGTGCAGACGATTACTCAGAGATGCATGGACGGATTTCTTTGAAATTTTCAGAGATGATGTATCATGATCTAAACTTGATCCATTTTTTTTAATTTTTGAAAAATCACTTCCGGTCGGAAGTTATCGACCTTTAATCGAATTTTTAGTGACCATTTTGTCGACACAAAAACTCAAAAACGACAAAAGCTAGAATGTTGTCATTTTCAGGACTAATAGATGACATGTAGTAGTTTTGCACCTATACTTTCAAATTTTCGTCAGTGCTTCCGGTCGATACCGGAAGCGAATTTAAAAAACCGCAATTTTTCAACTTTTTTGTTTTCCAATATTTTTCTTTGATATTAGACATCTTAAAAGTGACTCTTTTGTGAATGCGAAATATGTAATTTGTTTTAGAATCGAAAAAGGCAATCTCGAGATTTTCGTATTTAAAAATTTGAAGCGGTGTTTTCAATGGCTGAATGGTAAGCGCGTCGGATTGTCACGCGGGCGACCAGGGTTCGCTCCCCCGAATGTCCAATTTTTTTTTTATCACTTTTTCTGCAAGATTTTTCGTTTTTTACTTCAGAATCGGACGGAAGACCCACTCGTTGCTCGCAACGAGATCGTATCTAGTTTTTTTCCATATATTTTTACAGAGTTTACACTTGTACAAGAGATGTTCATTGTCTTCAACAACCATACAATATTCACAATAAGGTTCTACATCTTTGTTCCATTTACTTACATTTAGAATATTATTCAATATGCAATTCAGTAATTTATAATTGAATTCAGCTACATTTTTTTCATACATATATTTAATTTTAGCTAGATATACATTTTTCCAGATATATTTGTAACTAAGATCGAAAGTCTTTTGCCACATATTTTCATAAACTGATCTTTGAAATTTAATATTTACCAAAATTGAATAATAAAAATTACATTTAAGATTTTCTAGAGTTCTTACGCTATTATCTCTAAATAAAAATGACACTTCGTTTTTAATATTAACAAATTTGGCATATGTACAATCAAAATTGTTTTTGAATTCTCTGAGTACTTTTTTTATCATGATATATTCACAAAAAATATTGTTTTTCTTTTGCAGTATGTTGTAAAAGTGTTCAATGCTAAAAAAGTTTCCATCATTATCAAAAAGATCTTTGATATATAGAATATTACTTTTTATCCAGTTTTCAAAACAAAGAGGTTTAGAATCATACTGAAACAAATTATTGTTCCAAATGAATTCCGATAAAAATTGGTCTCTCTTTAAAGTACAAATTTGTTTAACTTTTTTACATTTTTTGAAAGCAGAAATGACCTCACCATAGAAAAGTGGTATTCTTATCATCTTAAAAAAGCAGTATTTTCAAAGTTACATACACGTTTTAACAATGTCATTAACTGATAGGTTTTTAAGATTAAGAATATTGTTCAACATCTTACATATTATATTTTCTTTATCTAATAATCGTTTTATCCAAGAGGCTTTTGCTGCAGTAAATTTACTCTCTATATCAACAATACCTATTCCCCCTTGGTCAATTTTACCAATTAGCGTATTTCTTTTTATCCTATCTTTTTTCTTCCATATAAAATTAAATACAAGTTTTGATACTTTTTTAAAGAATTCTTTTTTTGGATTTGACAAAATAAAAGCAATATATACCAATTTAGATAATGCTAGTGTATTAATTATAGTACATTTTCCGAAGATTGTTAAGTTTCGCCTTCTCCAAACACTTAGTATTCTTTCAAGTTTCTCCAATTTATTTGTCCAGTTCATATCATAACAAAAGTCCTTATCATGACCGAGATATATACCTAATGATTTTACATGACTTTTAGCAATTTTTACACCAAAAATATGATTTTCATTTAAATACCTTTCAATAAATTTTCCTGTTAATAAACATTCTGTTTTGTCCAAATTCAATTTCGGAACTGCGACTTTGCTAAATTCACGTATTGTTTCTAAAGCTTTTTTCATTGAATTAGTGTCTTTCAATAGATTAGTGCAATCATCTGCATGTTGAACGATTTTTAAATTTTCATTATCACCTGGCGATAGACCGATTATTTCTTCATTATTTTTAAGCTGAACTGCTAGTATTTCTAGCACAAAAATAAATAAAAGCGCTGAAAAAGGACATCCTTGTCTAATCCCTCTTTGCATTTCACATGATTTTGACATCCAGCCATTATTTTTAACTTTGAAAGTTGGTTTGAAGTATAATGTCTTTATCATCTTGATAAAGTTTTCTCCAAAATTAAATATTTCTAGAGTTTTGTACATGAAATTATATTCAACAGAATCAAAAGCTTTTTCAAAATCGAGAAAGAGCAAAATACCATCAATATCATTATTTGTACAATATTCAAATATGTCTAATATTATTCTTGCGTTCTCCCCAATGTATCTACCTTTAATATAAGCACTCTGTTCACTACTAATTATTCTACTAGCAATTTTTTGCAAACGATTAGCTAAAACGTGAGCAAAAATTTTATAATCAACGTTTGTAAGACTAATTGGTCTATAATTCTTAAGATTTTCTTTCTCTCCTTTTTTATATATCAGGGATATCACAGCGTTTCTTTGCGAAAAGGGCAAAATACCATCATCATTACTTTTAAGTAAAGAGGGAAAAAATATTTCATTTATATCATGCCAAAATCTTTTATAGAATTCTGCCGTTAGGCCATCTTGTCCAGGGGATTTGTTATTTTTCATTTTAAGAACAGCTTCTTCACATTCTAATTTTGTAGGTAACATGTCGCATAACTCTTTCTCGACCTTTGTGACCTTTTCGCAGTTAACATTCTTAAAATAGTTTTCAACTTCATTATCAGAAATATTTTTACTACTGTATAATGAGCTATAAAAAGTAAACAAGCTTTTCATAATATTATCATTATACAACATGAATTTATATACAATTCAAGATGGTTTGGAAACAAACTTCATTGTTTTTCCGACTCTGTTTACAGTAGGGGTGTTTCGCTTCTTTTTAAGCAAAACCTTTCTGTTGAAATATCAAATTATCACCAGTCTCTTGATGGAGG